TTGTCAGACAGGTTCTATTTAAGTGATTTCTTGATTAAACAGGTCTGGCAGTAATCAGGCCTGCGTGTGGCTAGTGAAATTTAACTCCACTTTCTAAAATGATGTGATTAATCACAGTTCTTTCATGATTTAACAGGAGGGGCAATTAATTTTTCACGTTGGGCCAGGTAGGTTTGGACAGCTTTTTTCCCTTAATAAATGAAATTATCATTTAAAAACTGCATTTTGTATTTACTTGCATCATCTTTGCGTAATATTAAAATTGGTTTGATGATCTGAATCTTTTAAGTGTGACAAATATTTAAAAAAAACAGGAAGGGGGCAAAAACCTTTTCACGGCACTGTATTTCCCTGCCACACCAGGGATCCCAGTATGTGTGTGTGGACTCTCTGGGCCTTGTTTGAGAGGCTTGTGGCAGAACCTACAGAGGCGACCAGTGGGATGCTGCTCCGTGGCCTTTCTCTTTCTCCGCTCCTCCATTACCTGTCTTGCCTCTACAGAACGCTGCTTTGCGGCCTGTAGCTCTCGTTTAAAAAAAGGTGTTTCAGCAAAGTCAGCAAACAGCATTCGAGGATTGGAAAGGCCTTCCTCTGCATATATCTGGTATACGTTTGTAGAGCAGTAAAAGTACTTCACGCTCCCAGACTGACAAAAAAAAATTAATGGAGGAGCCATCACCAAGGTACACTCTAAAAAAAAGGTTCTTCAGCGGTTCTTTGGAGTGGGTAAGGTGCTATATAGCACCACTACTGTATAAAGAACCTGTTAAGCACCCGTATGGTTCTTCAGCGGTTCTTTGGAGTTGATGAGGTGCTATATAGCACCACCGTAAAACCTGTAAGCCCCTGTATAGTTCTTTAAAGGTTCTTTAACTCTCTCTTAGTCTCTTAGTTTAGTTGGGGAAAGGGTTAAAACAACATTAAAATACAGTCTATTTCTTGAAGATATCATTTTTGCCCCCAGGCCCCCCACATGAGACCTTTGACCTCAGAAAAAAGGACCTCTCCACAAACAGCAACACCAACTTCACACATTACTAACCAGTTATTACCTTTATTTCTGGAGTATCTAAAACAGAAGTTCTTTATTGAGAATTAAGGTTTAGATGTTTTTTTTTCTCAACTTACTGTTTTGGTGAATAGCGTTTGCTTTAGTTGCCTCTTGACCCTTGATTTTAACTTTAAGTGAAAATAAGTTTCTCTTTGGATGTTGCAGTAGTGTTTATGAAGCATATATGTGATGGCAAGTAACTTATGGTAAAATCATTTAATGTGTCTGAGTCTCTGGTTCCATATTATCATAATCTGTAGTTCTTTTATGAGTTTTTTATAATTTTTTATGTATTCTACGATACTATGTGACAATGTGAGAAAATTGTATAAACCACTTTTAGAAGTATGGGTTATAAAGAGGTTTCAGTTCTGTCACTCATAAACATGAAGAATCAGCATGTGAATCTCAGCAATGGTGACAAAATATTCTGATAATTTTTATATGATTTTTGAACATCACAAAACAGGGCAGTAAAAAGTCACAACACAAATAAAAGAAAATAGTAAGAATAAAAGAAAATACTAAGACAATTCAGCTGCATAATTTATTCATGTAGCAATGCATGCTGGGAGCCATGGATGTTATGATGGGTGCACCATTGTTGAGGAAAAGTGCTATATGGCACCTCTTATGGTTCTACATGGTACCATTTGACAAAGTGCTATATGGCACTTCTTATGGTTCTACATGGCACTATTTGACAAAGGTGTTATATAGCACCTGTAAAAATAGGTGCTAAATAGCACTAAAAGTGGTTCTCCTATGATTATGAGCCAAAGAACCACTTTTAGTGCTATATAGCACCATTTTTTTTAGAGTGTGGGGCAGGTGGGAGGGTTACCACTAGAACACTTACAGTTTCACTACCTTCTGTGAAGCGATACCACAGCTGCTGGGCCTCCAGGAGTTTCTCTGAACTGGTGTTCAGGGATGAACTTGTGTTCGTCATCTTGGCCAGGTGTTTCACATAACGTGAGATATGCTGTTTCGTGGTGGGGTGTAAGAGGCTACTGGGATCCCTGGAGGCAGCCTGCACAAGGGCAACATACTCCGCATCCACCTGGGTGAGAAGGTCTTTCTGCCCATGGTACTTTGCCAGAAGGCCATCAATGGAATCCCTCATGGGCTGTGTCCACCGAAAATGGTCCAGGACAAAAAGTAGCCCGCCTGCCTTGATGGGACCTGTGCGAGCAGCTTGTGGAGAGGGAGCAAAGGGCAGTGGTGGTGTCATCTCATCTAAATGAGAGGAAATAGGCCAGAAAAGAATCAATCATTTTCACTTTTATCTCTGAAATATCTGTAGTATTCATATAAATAAGGAATAATTAAGGGATGAAGATGTGAACTGAATTACCTTTTAATTTGGTGGGCTGTGCAGGCTGGATCATTGTTTGTGAGCCAAGAGAAGATACACCAAAAATGTCATCCTGGACCATAGGGTAATTAATTTGGCTTACAATCAGTGATTACATAGTTACACTACCGGTCAAAAGTTTTTAAATGTTTTTAAAAGAAGTCTCTTCTGCTCACCAAGGCTTCTTTTAATTGATCCAAAATACAGCAAAAATATAAATATATAAATATAATATGTTTACAACTTAAAACAGCTGTTTTCTATGTGAATATCTGTTAAACTGTAATTTATTGCTGTCATCAAAGCTGTACTTTCAGCATCATTACTCCAGTCTTCAGTGTCACATGATCTTCATAAATTATTCTAATATGCTGATTTGCTACTCAAGAAACATTTCTCATTATTATCAATGTTGAAAACAGTTGTGTACACATTTTTTAAGGATTATTTGATGAATAGAAAGTTTAAAAAACAGCATTTATCTGAAATATAAAGCTTTTGCAACATTATAAATGTCTATACTTTTGATCACTTTAATGCATCCTTGCTGAATAAAAGTATTTATTTATTTCAAAAAATAAATAAATAAAAAATTCTTATTGACCCCAAAATTTTGAACGGTAGTGATAATGTTACAAAAGCTTTCTATTTCAGATAAATGCTGGTCTTTTGAACTTTATATTCATCAAATAATCCTGAAAAATTTTAAATAACTGTTTTCAACATTGATAATAATCAGAAATTTTTCTTGAGCAGCAAATCAGCATATTAGAATGATTTCTGAAGATCGTGTGACACTGAAGACTGGAGTAATGATGCTGAAAATACAGCTTTGCCATCACAGGAATTAATTGCATTTTAAAATGTATTCAAATAGAAATTTTAATTTTAAATTGTAAAAATAACATGGTTGCTGCCGTGTGTTTTGAGTTTGAGCTCCGTCAAGTTAATTCTTTGTCGTCTAATTTTTTATCTTAAAATCAATTTTATACACCATCATTTTTGTTTCTATAATGTGTGAATATATCCTCTATCGTATTCTACAACAAAAACAATCAGAGTGCCTTGTTATCACTAGCTCTATTTTTTACTTCCCGAGTCCGCTATTAGCATATAGCCTGCTAGCATTACATTACTAATACTCTATTCACACACATTACCATTGTTTTACTCACTGTTACTTGCTTTAATGGCGGATGTGTGTCTACCTTTGAGTGCAGGTGAGGACACGTTCGAGCTGCATTCGGTGCAGCTTGAGCTGGAGGCCGTGGAGAAGCAGATCCGCGACCTGGTGGAGAGGCAGACCCAGCTGAGAGAGCGGAGAGCCGCGCTGGAAACATCCCAGGCTGACGCTCACAAGTCCGAGGTAAGTATACAGCGCGCTGCTAACTCTCCCACCACCTCTACTCCTTGTGTTTCTCTGCACAGGCCGGGGCACCCAGGACGCGATCTTCCCAGATGTCCTTCACTCCGGCGCCGGGACACCACGGACCCTGGGTGCACCCCCCCATGGAAGACGCGAGCCAGGCCCCGGGCGATTACCTCTCCCCCTCCGCCGCCTCCGGTCTTCGAGATCTCCACCCGGATCCGCTTCGCTCCCCTCCGCGAGACGCTGTGATCATCAAAGACTCCATCGTCCGGCACATCCGTGCTACGATAGCTGAAGGTAAAGTGCACACTCACTGTTTCCCTGGTGCTCGTGTTCTCGATGTTTCTGCGCAGATACCCGCGATCTGAAGGGCGACGAGAGCCCCGGAGGGGTCGTGCTTCACGCGGGGGCTAATGACACCAAGCTGCGGTAGACGGAGACACTGAAGAGGGACTTCAGGAGCCTGATCGAGACGGTGCGCCGCACATCGCCCACGACGACGATCATCGTGTCAGGACCACTTCCCACGTATCGACGAGGACACGAAAGGTTCAGTAGACTTTTGCTTTAAATGAATGGTTATTGCCATGGTGTAAAGAACAGAAACTGTTCTTTGTTAATAATTGGAATCTTTTCTGGGAGCGTCCTAGGCTGTTTCGCGCTGATGGTCTGCATCCCAGCAGAGTCGGGGCGGAGCTCATGTCGGACAACATCTCCAGGACGCTGCGCTCCATATGACTAGTAAGTCAAATCTCAAATAACTGCCCTGATGACTTGTGTTCTACCCGCTTAAATGATAGAAGTACTTGTGCTGTCCAATCTATAAAGACTGTGTCTGTTCCCCGAATAGTGAGGTCAAAATATAAATTTAACGACGACGATCATCGTGTCAGGACCACTTCCCACGTATCGACGAGTACACGAAAGGTTCAGTAGACTTTTGCTTTAAATGAATGGTTATTGCCATGGTGTAAAGAACAGAAACTGTTCTTTGTTAATAATTGGAATCTTTTCTGGGAGCGTCCCAGGCTTTTTCGCGCTGATGGCTTGCACCCCAACAGAGTCGGAGCGGAACTCATGTCGGACAACATCTCCAGGACACTACACTCCATATGACTAGTAAGTCAAATCTCAAATAACTGCCCTGATGACTTGTGTTCTTTGCCACGGACTAGGATTTACACAAGCTTCAGGCTGGATCCAGAACACCCGAGAAGAGATGATGCAACCCCTCAGAGGACCTCAGATGATGCCAACCCTGAAACAACTTACAGAACTACCACATT